ATATATATATATATATATATATATTTATTATGAGACATCATCAATAACATGTAATTTTTTTTATTGATATAATTTTCACTAATATCTTATTTAAGTAGTTTAATCAAATAAAAATAACACTAGGAAAAATTCAAGAAAAAAAGATAAATATACCCATTAAAAATAGTAAGCATGCTCAAACATTTTTGAATTTTTTTAATGATTCTAGATGCATGATTACATATGTATTTGGTCTCACTTCATCGAGAAGAAGCCATGAAAATTATATTACACTAACAATACAATGAGAATAACTTCTTAATCACTTAAGACAAATAAGAGATAAAAGAGAATTCTTTCATACCTCTTAGAGAAAGGATCAAAGTTTTCCAAAAATACTACAAAAGTTGTATCCACTTGGAGCCCTCAAGCTCCTCACCAACATATTTGAGATAGAACAATAATGGAGGCCTCTAGGTGGTTTAATATTTAGAGAGAAGTTTGAGGATTTTGAGGGAGATGAGGAAATGAGAGTTTCTCTATCTTGGGGTGGTGGCTTAGGGTGGATAAGCTTCATTTTCTTTTTATACATAGGGCAACACACTTAATTAGATTTCTTATTAATTAAGGTTAGGTTTAGTTTAGTTTAGGCACTAATTCTAGTTAAACTTAACTTTAAAATTAATCTTTAATGAGTCAAATCTATGATTATTTTAATTAAATCTTTAATTAACTTAATTTAAATATTAATTAAGCTTCATAAATATTAATCACATCCTAGGTACTCTTAATCTACTTTTAAGCTTACTTAATAAAGTTCTTTAAATTTACTAATATGTCATTAATGAGTTGACTAAATCTCTTGTTTTAAGGTTGACTTTCTACTCTAACTTTGACAATTGTTTTTAGGCTACTAAACAAATCAAATTAGAAATAGTCCAAGTTTCTTTTCATAATTATGTTAATCTTTATTTATACTATAACACCCAATTTATATAATATCAAGCATAATATTAAATATATACTTCTTATACATTTTTAACACAACTATATCACTAATAATATTTTACATAAAGACAAAGAAGATTTTGTGAACTTATATACATATAGTTAGCTCATTTTTACATTACATACCATTATAAAAATATTTATAATGCATACCTGTTTACATACTATACATTTTCTACATTTACTATAATATTTACATTGGTGGTGAAAATAAATTTACAATTAGATTAGCATGATTGACGAGTGGTAAAAAGAAAGTTACTATAATAGGTCCATCTATAATAGTGGAGATTTCTTGGTTGGGAAAGAAAATAAATGAAGACAATCCTATGCCTTGAAATGTGACTGAGTTGGAAACGACATCCACACTCCAATTTCCCCTAGGGAAGACTGTAGAAATAACAATTGTAAAGGGACCTGGGAATGCGGGTAGATCCATCTATTTTGTAATATATTTAATTTTAAACAAAGAAAAGTAAGGAGTGAGAATAATTATCAAATAAATACAAATAATTCAATAGAATGTACATAATTATTTATAATTAAAATTAAATATATAATTATATATACAGGTATATATTTTAGATTTTCATTGTTATAATAAAATTTGAATTATTTTAGTAGTGACTAGTCAGGATAAATGAGCATAATAATATCAACCAACATAAGGATATTTCACCTTAAGTCCTTACTCATTTAAATTTCCAAGGTTAAACCTCCAACTACAAATTAATTCAAACTTTATTTCTTATGGCCATAGAATAACATTTATCTTTATAATGTATGAAGAAATAACAACAAGATGAGCTTAGGATATTTTGACAAAACTATATTATAGTTAATATTAATATAAAAAATAATTAAGCTAAATAAGTTTGAGTATTTTTAATTATTTAAAATTTAATATAATATAGTTTACATAAATGAAATGTATTAAAGAATATTAATAAAGTAAATGACAATGATAATCATCATAAAATAATTAAATAACATAAACTAACAACATCTTATTAATTATTTAGAGTAAAAAGTATCATAGATATTTAAGCAAGTAAAGAAAGTTAGGAACACCTCACTAAGTAAATACACATAAATATAACATAAAATAAATAAATATAATAGCATATAAAATTTAAATAGACAAAAGTCTCCCCTCTTATCTTAATAGAAAAGTAGAATTGCTTTAAAGATAATCTAAAATTGGTTACAAGAATTTTTTCTCACTTTCCTTCTTCTTACTCTTTCTTTCTCTTCCTTCTCAATTCTTTCTTCATTTCTCTTCCTTCTCAATTCTTTCTTCAGGTTCTCTCCTCTCTCTTTTTCTCCCCATTTGGTCCCCTCCCCCCTTTGTCTATTTATAAGGGTCCTTAATTAAAGCATAAGCTTTCGTACATGCAGTAGATAAAATCTGCTGCAGATTTTTTTTTCTAACAATAAAGATATATAAAAAATTAAAATAATTTCATTAAACACTTAAAATGTAACAATATATATATATATATATATATATATATATATATAATGTAATTGAATATTATATATTTTCATTTTAGTTTACTAAAAATATAAAAATTTTAAAGCAAATAAAAACATTATATTTAATCTGTACTTATTTTAGAAATATTATAACTAAAAATTTTGACTATCACTTTAAGAATAACATAATGATAATAAAATTTATAATATTATATCAAAGTTTCAGAATATTACATATACTAATTAGTTTGACTAAGTGCTTAATTTAATTAGTTAACCTCTTTATATTAATCTAGTGTTTGATTTGATTTAATTAGCTAAATTACATATTAATTAATTATAAGACTTCACAACAAATTAATTTATCACTTATATGTCTTGATTTAGGTCTCTACTAAATGTTAAGTCTTAAATAATTTCTACATAACTTCTAAGACTCTTCATTAATGTACACTTGTTCAACTAATTAGTATTAACTTAATCAACAATTGAACATCCTATTTATTTCAGTCTAGGTTCTTTTTATTCAATTTCTTTGTATATAGACCCATTAAGGAGTTGATTTATATTTAATTAACTATTATTTATTATATTTTAATTAGTAAAATATTAGGATGTTTGACAAGACTTCCTTAATTTTGTTATTCTCCTATCCTTTTTTGTAATACTCTTTCCAAGTGTAGCGTGTGCAACTAACATATAACATATATTTATATATTTGATAGCTATATTTAATTTAGTATGAAGTTCTAGTCTAATATATATTTGTTATCCTTCTTAGATTAACCTAGAATCTTTTAAAAAAAACTTATTTAATAAAATATTAAATACATTTAATTTTTCATAAAAATATAAGCATAATTTATTCAATAAAAAATAATTTAATGATTGAATTATTTAAATTTAATAAATTAAGAAATTAAATAAAAATAATTTTATTAACAATTACTCCTAAAACTTTATTTTTATTTATTTATCTCAAGTATTTAACACTGGATTGAAGTGAAGTAGGAATAATATAAGCAATAAAATTTTCTTTTTGAATATTTAATTTTGTATATTTAGAGAATTCATACTTAAAATAATTAGTTATGTTAGAATAATCTTATATTGATTCATACATTTAATTATAAAATTACTCTTAAATTAATTTGGTAGTATAGTTGATAAAGTTATATTTGAATTCAGAGTTGTTAAAATTTCGAAATAGTTATGATAATTGTGTCAAAAAAAAATCTTATGGAGTTAATTATACACATGGGTTGATAAAACATTCCAATGAAAGTTTTGTATAACATGAATCTTGTAAAAAGTTACGAGTAAAGAGCATTGTCATATTAGTCTTTAGATAAAAGGAAAATTGAAAAAAAATTCTGGAATTGTAATTTCATTTATAATAATCTAACACATATAACTTAAATGATAATATTATTTAGAAACAAAATAATAATAAATAAATAAATTTAAAAACTTTGATGAAACATATTAGAGTTTTAGAGACTTTTTTTTTATTTTTACATTTTTTAAGATTTAAGAACTGAACTAACAAATTCAGAGACTAAAATAACTATTTATTCAAAGTTATTTAAGATGGACAATTTATATGATCAATAATTTGATATTTATTAGCTATACTTCAATATTGTATCTTAGTCCCTATGAAAATATTGCATATTAGTCCCTATAAAAATATAAATTTGGTTGATTTGCAGATTGGTTTCCAAGATGCATCATATTCATAGATTCACCCCCTTCCCCATTTCAAATCTTCAGCTCCAATTCGCTTTTACACAAACCCTACCCTCATTTTCTATTCTGAATCGGAGATGAAAGTGAAGATCTTGCGTATCCTTATCAAAATTAAATTTTTCTTCATTTCCTCTTTTACCTCTTTTCATAGATGTCTGTGTCTTTGCTTTGGTGTTGTGTGTTTTTTCAAATTTTCATCGCAGAAAACAGATTAAAAAAAATGAAAATTGATGTTTTTTCTTGACATAGATCTCTGTCTGGATATCCTCTGATCTTCTAAACAGAGTAAGTTCTCTTTTTTAACTTCAACGTAACTTTTATGCAGTGATGGATTTGTTTTGCTTAGCTTATGTTTCAAATAATTCATAGGCTGAAACTTTCTCGTATGCTTATATTACCATGTTTTTTAATTAAGGTTAGAGAAGATGACAAATAATTAGGGAATGAAAATAATTTTGACAAAAGTTGGTAGAAAGTGTTTGTTATATGGAAGGACTAACAAAAGTTGTATTGCTGGTGTCAAATTGAGTTGCATTGCACTTTCAATTGCTCCAAGTTTCTATTGTACATGGAGAATTTAACCCAATTTGTATTGCCAATTTTCAGTCTCCTCACTTTTTTTTATGTATTCATTTGTCACTAAGTCAAGCACGTTACATCCTAATTTTATTTTTCTTCCTTTATGTTAAATATAGATGGCATGCTGTTTCTTCGTGGACTTGGGATGCACAGGATGAAACATGTGGGATTTGTAGGATGGCCTTTGATGGATGTTGTCCTGACTGTAAGCTTCCTGGGGATGACTGCCCGCTGAGTAAGCCACTGACGATATTATGAGTCTGTTTGGTTACAAGTTAAGAAAAACTTTTGTAAACTTTTCTATCAGAGAAAACTCTTAATTTTTGATAAAGAAACTCTTTTAAATTTGTATCCAAACAGATTCTATATACTACTTTAACCAGCTTGTCTTAGATTTCTTGATTAGTCATTGTGTTTTAAGAGTTCTATGCTACTGAAGCAGTGTAAACTCAACCGCACAGTGTGAAAATGTTTGTGATTTCGTTTGTTCTCCTATTTGTTTCTATGAATTTAAATGAATTTGTGTGGTCAGTTGGGTTATTGTGGGGTCTTAAGGAAGCCTCAGAAAGCAGTTTAGTAGTTAATACTTAATATCACAACATGGGCATTATTCAACTATCAATCAACATGGTGTTAATGAAGTTTCCAAGCTTTGTTCATAAGTTTGAAGGTTTCTGAAAAAGGATTCCTTTAATTGCTTTTTGGGATCTCTCCATATAGAACATTGAATCACTCTGGCCCCTCTTTTTGTTTTTTTTTTCCTAAGTTTTCTTATTACCTCTATATTACATTTTGCAGTTCCACATTTATAATGATAATATATAGAAGTTCTGTAGTACCCCTGATTTGAATGTGTTGAATTGCTGCAAAGATACTGTTATTGCTGACATATATGGTGACTTGTTCTAAACCTTAAAAAATGCTACCTATGTATTTTGTATTTGTAACACTTTTTCTAACACACTTTACTATTAGGTAATATTCATGAGTTTCGCTTGTTAGTTAATGGGATTCACACAAATTTTCACTCAATGGTAGAGATTTTGTATGAGTGTTAGTGTGTTGCTATTGCTAGTATTTCTGGTTTATGCCCTAGGAGAGTCTCACAGGATTTTGATTTTTTTTTAAGAAAGCAGTAAGATGTCATTATTTAATTGGTTGGAATTTATTAGAAATTTTTGTGGTTCAACATCCTATTAATGAGTCTCTCTCTTGACTTAGTATGTGTTTGGAACCAAATCCAGAATGTAGATCATCATTGTCTCTCCACATTTAACAGAAGCAACAAATAGTGGCTTCTCCATCAATTGATGTGATTTTTGCTTGGATGTGGATTCCAGACGTGCATCCAAACATGCCCTTAGTAGCAAGAGAGTGTGTCACTAACATTTCTGTTATTTTGTTATGGAAACAAGATTTTGCTTATCAAATTGCAGGATTCTGTAAATCTTTATACCAGAAATGAGAATATAACTTATTCTTATACTTGTTGCAGTTTGGGGTGCATGCAATCACGCATTTCATTTGCACTGTATCCTCAAATGGGTGAACTCTCAGACATCACAAGCGCATTGTCCCATGTGCCGTCGTGAATGGCAGTTTAAAGGAGACACATGAGAGTTTTTTTTTTTTTTTTTTTGTTATTCTTTAAAAGGGTAAGCACTGACCATTGTAAATCGGTCTAGTAAATTAATATGGAGACACTTCTGCAGTTTTTCCATGCGTATAACATGTATTTGGCTTCTTATTAGCTAATGAGTACTTCAGTGTATTTTATCCTTTCTGGTAAGGAGGTGATCAAATTCAAAGTTTCTGGAAATGCAATTTTATTTTTGTCATATCGATGACGCCCTTGGATAAGATTCCCAATTGCACAAGGGTTGAAGAAGGAACTTTTGGGTTCAATCTTGGACTTAATTTTTGGAATGTAGGTAAAGAAATTAGATGCTAGAAATGGAGGGAAGGAAACGGTAAAGGAATGGAGGAAGAATCACTCTTCCAAGGAAGGCTTCACACAAAGAATTGTGGATGATCCTTTGATATGCCCAAATTCTTGAATCACTCAAGAACAATTGGAGAATCACTCTCACTTAGTTTTTTTATTATTAAAACTCAAATTCTTGTCTTTTTTTTATTCATCCCAATGGGCAGCTTATATAGCTTACAACCAACACCTTTCACTTACATTAGTGGGCAATTAATGGACTCCACTAAGCCTATCAATTATGACCACTAATGACAAAACATTAAAAAAAATCACTTTAGTGGGCAATTGTTGAACTCCACTAAGCCTAACAATTATGACCACTAATGACAAAACATTAAAAACACATGCTAAATTCGTCCACCCTTTAGTATGCCTTATGGCTGATTTATCTCAAAGGTTTTGGACCTTATTTAACTAAAAACAACTTGCCTAATAACTAGCCCAATAAGTGGTGCAGCCCAAACAAGAGTTGACAGCCACTTTAACAAGAGTTTTAGGCCTTTATTTACTAATTACAAGTACTAAAAACACCCACTAAGAAAATCCTAGTCATTGGTCCTCCAAGTCCTTTGAGTGCTCCCATTTCACATCACCCTTCCTCTTCTTTTGATACTAGATTTAGTGTAAATTCCATCATAACTGAGGTTAAGGAATTCCAATTCCAATATTTCACATAAAGGTGCAAATTGGGGAACGGATCATAGCAATGATCTTATTATACGAGATTCTAGTCTTTCAATAAATTTTGTTAATGTAATATTTCTATCATAAAGTGAACCACTATTCTAGTGAAAATTGAGATAGTAGCACAAGATCTTAAGTTTGTTGTAAAAACAAAATTAAAAAAAATAAACTGCGAAATTATTAGATACATTCCCATGCCATTCTTGCAATACTGCTAAAGTAATATTTGCATTTTAGGGGCTGTAAAGTAACATTAATACATCTACATTTTCTTATTGGTTTGAGAAAATGAATATTTTCAATGTTATTAGAAGCTCATACTCAAATTTATGGGAGCCCTATATCCTCAAGGGCAATAAATAATAATAAGGGTAACATAAATTAATAGGATGAAGATGCTAATTTCCAAGCAGAAGAGCATACAATATTTCATTCCATGCATCAGGAACACCAGCCAGACACCAATGACTACAGTCATCAAAAGAAGTGCCTCGTCCTGTGTAGATAGAGGGGTGACCATCCCTCCTCAGTTGTGTGAGCAGAGTTATGTCAAGCAATTGCGCAGGCTTTGTCATGTTACTTAGAACACTCTTCACTATGTCCACACCAGGATATGGTGCCATTGTTCCTTCATCTGGTTTAGTTTTCCTTAGGCACCCCGTTTTGCTGGAATATTGAATTGAAAGAAAAGAGTGAGTCCTTGATAAAAATTTTATAGTAGTTACTAATCACAATAGCATATGGGTATTTGTCTTATTATTTCATACTCATTTAGAGTTTAGTTGGTTAGAACTTAGAAGAATGGCATACCTAATAGCATTTTTCTAGCTCTTAATTTTGATTAGCAGATATTTGGTCATGTTATGCAAGCATTTTTGAAAAAACTGTAAGGCATTTTCTCAAGATATTATTAAAGATCAAATATGTTTATAGTAATTGTATTTTTGTCATTTTCACTTCTAATTTCTGAACAATTTTTTTACTAGTTTTAGTTATTAAGTTTTTGTTCATTTTTATTTTTAGTTCCTGAACTTTTTCTTCTATTTATATTTTTTATTCTTGAAGATAAGAATTTTTGTTCATGGAAGAAAATTCTAGGAACTAAAACTAAAAGAAAATTATTCAAGAATTAAAAACAAAAATGACTAAAATTCATGAATTAAAAACTTGTTTAATCTTTTTATTAAATAAAACTTATAAAGATTTGGACAATTTTCACTTCATAAGCTAATTGTTAGGATTGAGTTAGATCTAACCTAAATTCAAGATGAAAATTTGATATTGGGTCATCCTTAACAGTTTAAAAATATTGGGCATTTAACGGCTTTTCCATGCAATATATAAAAAAAATGTCTTAAAAACTTCGACACCCAACCCAGCCCAAATTCAAGCATAAAAGCCAAATTCAAGAAAAACTTTAAGCATAAAAGTTATAATATAGAAGACGGATGGAATTCACAAATGAAGCTTATGTATTAACCACTACCACTACATATTTTGCAGTGAGAAAAAGGATTTGAAAACCAAATTCGTTGTCACGTGAAAGGAAGAGAAAATTAAAAAATAAATAAGGTTAATAGTTTTTTTTTTAATCTCTAACTTTACAACTCAGTTTTTCGTCCCTGTATTTTCTAAACATCCAAACCTTCATTCCTCAATTTAACTGTGTCCCCTTGTTAGACAGATCATCAACTAATTGACAATAACAAAAATTTAGAGACGAAAGTTTTTAGAAAATGCAGAACAAAAAAAGAGGGTTTCGAAAGCCAGACACAAAAACTAATGAATAATTTTACAAAGATAAAAAAAAAAACTTCATTAACCAAAAAAGTACTATAGTTTACCTCCCATTTTGTAACCCACCCACATGTACTACAAAGTTTAATAACATCTAAATATACATGCCTACAGCACCAATAATAAATAAATAAACATGTCATGCACGTGCTCTTATCATGACTTATAATGTGAATTTCAATTGGAGTGTGGATCAAATCACCAACCAGCCATTGATTAAACTTACTCAACATGGGAAGCAGCAATTCCCTGAAACAAGACTCTAGTCTTTGATGTATCAATGTTAGAATCAACCCATTTAGCCCAAGTGCTCAGCCCAATCTTGAAAGCTTCCAAGTGATCCATGTCCTGGATCAATTTCCCACCCACTTCAAAGTAATTCCATCTGTAAAACATTGAAAAAGAAGCCATTAGCCACATGCATAAGAATAATCTATTTAGTAAAAAATTTTGTATTTGATACTAAGTGTTAGTGACAATCAAAATATCACAAGCAAAACTTGTCTCTGATCCAATAAACTAAGTGGGAAACAAATTTTTTAAAAAAAAAAGTAGTTCAAAATGAGAAACTTCCTTACGTTTGAGACTTTCCAGTGTGAGTCCACCAATGGTAACTGTTGAAAATCAAAACATCCACTCCTTTCCACTGGTCCCCAGAGCTAATGCTGTCCAATTTCAAAATCCTCCCTTTTTCTTTGTCATAAACCAAATCCACTAGGAACCCATTTTTCAACCACATGATTGAAGCTCCATATTCCTATAACCCCATGAAAAAAGTTGAACCAAATTATTGTTAAGCCAATCAAACAACACAAGTACAAAGGTTCTTGCTTTGTAAAGTGAAAAAGATCAATACCGGGAATGAGAATACAGAAAGTTCCGGTGTTTGACTTGTTAAGGTGTAGCTTGAGTTTGGGACTGCATTGTGAAGCAAACAAGTAAGTGACTGCCACATGTTGTTACTTATGGAGTCCCCCACAAACATTATCTTCTTTCCTTTGTTGCTCTCCAAAAACTTCCTTCCATCAAACCTGTTAACAAATACAACCGTTGGGGAAAAAAGGGGCACAAAAATTCAAATTTCAACTTCAAGATGCCAGCTTGCAAGTAAAAAAACAAAAACAACAACAACAACAAAAGTTCCAAACAAACGGCAAACAACAACAACAACAAAAGTTCCAAACAAACGGCAAACAACAACAACAACAAAAGTTCCAAACAAACGGCATACTTTCACACGAGATTCTATTATTGGTAAAAAAATTATTCATAAACATTATTTTGTCTTGTCATAGATATTTTTCAAACTACTAAACTAGAGAAAATATTTGTTTTTAGTATTGTAATTAGAATTGAATATGAAATTCTCTCTACATTCAACACATCACAATTTTATGTGAATTGATCCTTCACATAACCAAAGTTGAATTAATGAAAGGAATAACATATTACCTTGGAAGTTCACAAGTTGAGGGCAGCCATCTATACTTAAGGTAGTCCTTATCTGGCCTGGCATTTCTCAAGCAATCAAATCCTTGGCCAATGAAGGGACAGTCCCTTGAGGGATCATAGAGAGGGTGGAGGGAAGGTTCATCAATGACCCATTTCCCTTGAGAAAAATCACACCCTTGGAATGCTGCCACTGTCCATGCAAAAGCTGAGGCCAGTATCAGAGGCCCCAACCAGAGTGTGAACACCATTTCAAATTGCACACACTCTTGACTGTGTTAATAATGTTTGAGCTTGTGGTGTTGCATGTTTATATAATAATATTAAAACAATGTGGGTTGGTCCTGTGGGCGTGTCTAGCTGTAGCTTTATGGAAAATAATATTTGCAGAAATCATTTTTGTATGTAGTTGCTGCATCAAATTAAAGTTACCCACAGCCTTAATTAGATTATGTGATCATTGTGATGTGATTTAAGGGAATTATTTTCCCTAATTGATTACATTGGAATAACTATTATCTATCACATTATTTAATAATTTTGACTAAATGGTTATTTTTTAAAATTTACTGATAGATTGATTTTTTTTTAAAAAATATATGTATGTTTGTCTCGAAATTCGTTAGTAAAGTTAGTAAACTTACGTTTTTAATAAATTTTTAAAAATACAAATTTAACCGGTGTAACAGTAAAATTATTAATATTAAGAAAAAAAAGGTATTTTGTATCTCTCTATTTAAAAATAAAAAGATAATAAATAATTATTTATAAAAAAGGTTTGAAAACTGGATATTATTTAAGAGGAAAAAGAAAAAATAATGAAAAAAAAATTGTTTAGAAGTAATTATAAAGATAAATTAGTCCAAAAATTATGTACATTAAAAGACTATATCTCTTTTATTAATAATATAAAATTACATTAATAATAATAAATATCAAACTTTATATCATTTGAATTTCTCTAAATATATTATCTATTCAATAATAAATATTTAGGCTAAAAACCTAATTTGGTTCCTTATAATCTTTTTTTGTTTTAATTTAGTCTCTCATTAATTTTTTGTCTCAATTTGGTCCCAAACTAATTAATTGGTTTCAATTTAGTCCCAAATTAATTAATTAGTTTCAATGTAGGACTTCCGTTCAAATTATTTAAACGGAGTTAACTTTTGGCCACGTGGATGCCACGTAGATGCATACGTGGCATCCACGTGGATGAGAATTTTTTTTGAAAACACCTGGACTGGAACGGCCCGTTCTGAAACCGGAACGGGCCGTTCTGGTTGCAAAATTAAAACACCATCAGTGACGCAGAACGGGCTGTTCTAAAAACAGAACGGCCCGTTCTGCTTTCAGAACGGGCCGTTCTGGATTCAGAACGGCCCGTTCCAAAACTGTGAATAAAATATTTTTTGCTTAATTGTGTTTTTGATATTATAATTATGCAATTTTGATCTCTAAAGTTTTAATTGAGTAATTTCAGTCCTTAAAAGATTATAATTGTGTAATTTTAGTCTCACAATTTTTAATTGAACAATTTTAATCTCTCAAATATCATAATTGTGCAATTTTAGTCTTTCTCATTAAAAATTTAATAATTTTAAAATTTATATATATATATATATATAATGTTTTAAAACTATATAATTGTTTGTTTATTTAAATTAACGTATATTATTTTTTTTAATGTATCAAATGATATATATTTATTATTACTAAATAAATAAAATTTATATATTATTAGTATTTTAATATTACTGATAAATTAATATCAATAATATTTTTACTATATTTATAAATAAACTAATAATTTGATAAATATAACTTAATATATATTAATATACTTTTACAAAAATATAAATATATAAGATCAGATATATATTTCTAATTAATATACTTATATTTTTGTAAAAGTATATTAATATATAACAAGTTATATTTATCAAATTATTAGTTTATCTATAAATATATTAATAATATTATTGATATAATATCGAAAATTATAATATACGTTAACACACCAAAATTAACACACCAAAAGTGCACACCAAAAGTGCAAAATTAACACACCAAAAGTGCACTTAGAACGGCCCGTTCCGGTTTCTGAACGGGCCGTTCTGGGTCCAGGTGTTTTAAAAAAAATTTTCATCCACGTGTCATCCACGTATGTATCTACGTGGCGTCCACGTGACCAAAAGTTAACACCGTTAAAGCAATTTGGACGGAAAGTCCCACATTGAAACCAATTAATTAATTTGGGACTAAATTGAAACCAATTAATTAGTTTGGGACCAAATTGAGACCAAAAATTAATGAGGGACTAAATTGAAACAAAAAAAGATTATAAGGGACCAAATTAGGTTTTTAGCCTTAATATTATATATTTTTTAAATATCATATTATAGGTTAAGATAAAGTGATGTAATAAATTATTAAAAAAATTGCATAAAATATTATATACTTATCTAGTTAGTGAAAATATTAAATACAAGAATTAAATCAATTAAATTTATCTATTATAAAATATTATTAAATATATAATTTTATTGAATGACAAATGGTGAAAAACAAATTGACTGTATATATTAATATTAACATACTCGTTCTTTCTTCCTTACATACTCTTTCCGTTCACTAAAAAAATACTCATTGTTTAATTTGATTAATTGAATTATATTACATTTAAGTTATTCGTCGAACATTTAATTTGATCATCAATTTTATCTATAATTTTAATTTTTCTTTATAATTTTAAGTTACCCGCAGCCTTAATTAGATCATGTGATCGTTGTGATGTGATTTAATTTCTCCGAAGAAAAGAGTGCATTTTGTAGAGTTTTTAACTCAAATAATATTATTTTAAAAAATATTTACCCAAATAGTAACTGTGCAAATTTATTTCCCAGATTAGCACTACTTACTGTTTACGTTCCAGAACGGGTCGTTCTAATTTCAGAACGGGCCGTTCCAGATTAAAAAATAACGCATGACGAATGGATTAGAACGGGTTGTTCCAGATTCAAAAAATGCACATAAAAAGTGAAACCAGAACAGGCCGTTCTGAATCAAAACGGGCCGTTCTGGCCTATAAATAAAATTTTTTAGTTCGATTTTTACTAATCAAATACTAAAACTAAGAAACTAACATCAAATAATTAAATTTATTGAATATTAACATTATAAATATAACTAAATAAATGTATTAAAATTTAATATAACAATAAATATCAAGTGTTTGATAAACGGATTATGTTGTTCTTTAATGTCCATATCTGTTTTAATCCTGCTGGACTTTGGCCACCCTTGAAAGTTCTCTTGAATTCTGAATTTGGCCACAAAGTTGGACCAGTGTTACTAGGCCAATAATCTTCATGTCAGAGCTCTCCAAACTATCATTCGTATACTTTTGTAACTTATTGTAAGGTATATATGAAATATGTAAGTTTGATAGTCGTGATGTGCATGTAAGCATGAAGCGAGTACATGAGAGCAAAGGATATGAACTTTTTGAAACTTGCCGCAATCACACCACATTATATTTAGCCTTACTGTAAATCTCTCAGCGAGTCATGCGAGCAAAGGATATGAACTTTCTGAAACTTGCTGCAATCATACCACATTTCATTTAGCTTTATTGTAAATTTCTCAACGGGTCAAACTTCTCTCGGATGTTGCGTTTCTTCCAACTTTGTGGCCAAATCTAGAACGCAAAAGAACTTTCAAGGGTCGGTCAAAGTCCAGCAGGATTAGAACAGAGATGGACATTAGAGAACAACATAATCGTGTAAAAAATTGTTCCTATTGTCACGCTCCTGGTCACGCCTTACTGTAAATCTCCCCGCAGGTCATGTGAACAAGGGATATGAACTTTTTGAAACTTGCTGCAATCATACCACATTTCAATTTCTCAACGGGTCAAACTTCTCTCGGATGTTGCGTTTCTTTCAACTTTGTGGCCAAATCTAGAATGCAAAAGAAATTTCAAGGGCCGGCCAAAGTCCAACGATTAGAACAAAGATGGAGATTAGAGAATAATATAATCATGTAAAAAATTGTTCCTATTGTCACACTCCTGGTCACGCCACCATTAATCTTTATTGTTGTAATGAATTTTAATAAATTTATTTAGTTATATTTATAATGTTAATATTCAATAAATTTAATTACTTGATGGTAGTCTCTGAGTTTTGGTATTTGATAAGTGAAAAAAAAATAAATAAAAAGCCTGAATCTGTAGGCCAGAACGGGCCGTTCCGGATTCAGAACGGCCCGTTCTGGTTCCACTTTTTATGTGCAATTTTTGAATCCGAAACGGTCCGTTCTGATCCATTCATTATGTGTTATTTTTTTAATCCGGAACGGCCCGTTCTGGAACGTGAACAGTAAAAAGTGTCAGTTGAGGAAATAAATTTGCACAGTTGCTATTTGGGTAAATATTTTTTAAAATAGTATTATTTGAGTAAAAAACTCGCATTTTGTAAGGTAAAAGGAATTATTTTCCCCAATTATTTCATTGAAATAATTATTAACTATTACATTATTTAATAATTTTTCATTAAATAATTATATTTTAAAATTTATTATTAAATTAATGTTTTTTTTAAATATATGTAGGGGTATGTCTTGAAATTTGTTAATAAAGTTGGTAAGCTTACGTTTCAATAAAATTTTATAAATACAAATTTAACCGGTGTAACAGTGAAATTATTAATATTGAAATAAATAAAAAAACATTCCATATCTTTCTATTTAAAAATAAAAATATAATAAATAGTTATTTATAGAAAGATTTGAAAACTAAATATCATTGAAATAGAAAAAATAAATAAATAAATAAAAGAAAATGAAAAAAATATTTAAAGATAATTATAAGAATAAATTAATAAAAAAAATTACGTATATTGTTTTTATTAATAATATAGAATTGTATCCATAATTATGGATACCAAATTCTATATCATTTGGATACCTTGAATTTATTATATATTTAATAATAAATATTTATATAAGTTTTAAATATCATATTATAAGTTAAGAAAAAGTAATGTGATAAATTGTTAAAAAAATAAATTATATAAAATATTATATACTTATCTAATTATTGAAATCGTTAAATTTATTTATTATAAAATATTATTAAAAATATAGTTTTATTAAATGATAAATGGTGAAAAAAAATTAATTATATATATTAATATTTACATACTCATTTTCTTTGTTTAATTTGTCGTTTTAATACTGTTTAATTGAATTTTTTCAGTTTTT